ACCAGATTTTATCTCGGGGACTACTTCCTGTCCCCCCTCAGAAACCATACCTACTTATGGCTTATCATACTGCGGACAAGCTTGCAAAACTCTCTTATCTTTGTTTTGGGAATGTGCCCCTTTCCCGCCAGCTTCCCTGTCCCTTTGTCTCCTCCAGGATCTCTCCCTCTCCCCACACTTAAAGAGATAACAGCCTCTTCCCTTGCAGCCTTTCGGAGTTTTTCTCAGTGCCTCTTTTTCTCCTGCTAACCCTCCCCCCAACTGCGCTGCCAGCATCTCTTTGTTTCCCAGTGCGCACTTCCTCTCCCCTCCACCGTGCTGCCAGCTTCCTTTTGTTTCCCATGTGCACCAACCCATCCCCCGCTGTCGAGATTAAAATGAGACCAGAGGATAAGAGATTCACATAAAACTGCTTTAGATTTTAAACAGCTTCTTTTCTTTTCGCTCTCACATCACGCTCCAATTCTGTGGGCCCCACAGTTTCAGTTCCACATCCAACCTGTTCCACGCCGCGCCGGCTCATTCGTGCTGGTGCTGGCCCATTCCGCCACTGAGAGATATGTGCGAGACTGTCCCTACCACGTTCAGCTTATGGCGCCACGTCCTGGGCCACACGTCCCTTGCGAGTGCGCAGCTCCTACAGGTTGCAGTTCGCTGGCTGCCGGTCATGCGCCTCTGAGAGCAGAGCCACACTTGGCCACAGGCTATGTCACATCGCGCCTCCCAGCCCCACCACTGCCGCCGCTCCTGCCCCTGCCCCCGCAGCCCTTCACACCAGGCACGCTGCCGGCGTCCCTCCGTGGCGCCAGACACGCGCTGTTGGCGCCCTCAGTGGTGCTGGGCTGCGGCCGCCACCTCTTGCCACCACTGCAGGCCTCCAAGCCCCACCCCCCCATGCGCCATTGCAGCTAAAATACATATTTCCCTGCACCGTCCTAGCGCCATCATAGCAGCTTCTAGGTGGGATCTCTGCCCACCCCTGCATGCTATATCCCAGCGCTCGCCCTGCCCACTCTGCGTGTTCCATGTCAGCCCACGCCTGCGTACTGTGAGGCGACACTCACCCCACCCCAAGCACAACTATGCTCTCTCCCTACAGGCGTGATCTATCTATCTCAGAGTTTCAAGCTGCCTTAAACACTGCATGTTTCCAATGTCTCACAGCTCCGCTCAAACATTTTTTTTTTTACCATTCAGTTCCACTCAAGAGAGGCTATTTTTTTCTTACAATTTTTCTACCATTTATTCAAGGTTACTGGCCACCTGATAATTTTAACAGCCTTGTTTATCAATCAAAGTCTACACTAATCTCCTGTTTTGACCACTAAAATTAAGAGATATTTATCAATTCCTTTTTGCTGGAAACCACTAGCTCTGTTCCAAGACAAGGGTTTTGTTAAAAAATTCTAATGTTGTCCACCACTAGTAATGTTCTCTGTTAAATTCATTGCTCCTACGGTACTGTGTTGTCACCCATCTCCTGTTTAACAACTGGGTTATATAAATTTATTCATAACTGATAAACCTTTATTACAAAATGTTTCCATTAAAGCCTTGTTAATTCCACGTGACACCCTATAAAACTGATATAACATCCAGATAAAGCCTGCTTTATAATCTTAAATGCCAATATTATGCTCCCACATACTTACTTAATTCTACAGATAGCTTTTACTATAATCCAGATCTCAAACAAGGCAAATCTTGACCTTCAAGCTCCACAGAGACCTTGATATGGTTTTTCATATTTTAAATAACACTTGCAGTTCTGAGACAGACAAATCTACACAAGGTAAAGCTACCTGCCACCCCACCATGGGTCACGCTCAAATGCAGCAGAAGACATTAGACAACAAAATGCCCCATCCTGGAATTCTTTGAGACTTTACTCCAGGGCTGTTGGGCTATCCTGGCCACCAAAGAGTGACTGGGCCATCCTAACTTCTAGCCCTCACAGGTCACTGCCACATTCGTCACTGACAAAAATTGCTGCCTGAGACAGACAGGGGCTAAGGGCCAATGACAACCACCTTTGTGGGTGTCTGTCTCAGAGTCCAAGTCACATTAAAACTCTCAAGGTAAGACATTCTCTATATTTGTGGACATAAGAGGCCACATATACAGAGTTCTTACTGAGTTTTCAGGCTAATAAATCCTCAATGTCTCCCAGAGTATTAAAGGTCAACCTATGCCAGTTACAAACAGGGCCTATTTTTGTGCAGGTCCCAGTCCTAAATCTTAAAATGCTTTTATTCCCTTTTGTACAGGCTGACAGATACATTTTGTGTTCTCACTTTGTTTATACTTTTTCAGGATACATGAAAGCCTTTCTCACAACCAGGGAAACTGCTGATATACTTGCTAAAGTTCTGTTACAACAAAACCATTATGAGGACTACCACCAGGTCATGGGGACCCATACCTGATATTGTTGGTAACCTCAACAGCAATCAAAGTTGCTAGACTGCCATCCTGGTTTCACATCACTCAGGCCCTAGATCTAACCATCCTTTTGGTACTCATCTCTGCCTTACGACTCACAGGTTTTCATGTTTTGTTATCCACTTTGATTCTTAATTTCTTACATTCTATTAATGATCATTTTTACAGCAGGACTCTTTAACAGGATTGCCTACAGATTCCAATGTCATATATACCAGAGACAAGCCTTACCTACCTACCTTTTAACTTTTATGCTTTCATATGGGGGAATAAGCACCTCTCATAACTTCACTCCTCCTAATCCCATGTTTAATTTTTCAGAATTCTGCCTTGCCATAAAAATGTTCCTACCTCAACATCATCCGATAGAATAACATGTCTAAATCAAAGATACCTTTCCCTCTACCTCACTTGGGTCTTTAAATATGACAGTGCCATGTCTCCTCATAACATCTTGTCTCTTTGTTTTTTCAGTCTAACATACGTGCATTCACCAGTGAAGTTGTCCTGGCTAAAACTCCTGGCACCAGCTTCTACCTAGACATCAACTGTCATCCTGTCGACTTCCCTAAACCCCAGTACAGTGCCCTCAGTCAGCAGGAAGTAAAGAGAAAAATCTTCACCCCTTTTCCTAATAATCATAAAACGGGATATCAAAGGGCTGCTGACCCAGACCGGACACTGTAGCCAGAAAAAGCCTCAGCCAAAATTAGGGAGCTCCTGCCTCCCCCGCCCCTAGAGATTTACCTATAACCCTATACACCCCACCCTTCAGAACCTGCCCCTGGCGCCAAATGTGTGCCAATGAAATACCTGTGCATCTCTAATGCTCCTTTACGTTCCACCCCAAGCCGAGGCTACTTATGTGCCTCACTCCACATGTTCCACGGAGAGATCCCCGGCCCCGGGGTGGAGATGCCATGCCCCAGGGGGTCGGGGGTGTCTCTCCCAGCATTCCCAAAATAAAGGTTATTTATATTTCATACTTCTTATCTTTTCAGCTGCCGCCGGTCCTCTTCCTCTTCCTCTCCTCCACAGTTCTATCAATCTCAGTAACTGCACTGTTATTTGCTGGGCCTTGCCAAAGAGATTTATAACAGACTTCATCCAAGGACAAGGCTGACCCATGGCAGACACACAACTCCTCCCGATGACCCACTCCACCACTGTCCCACAGGATATCCATGCTGATCCAGGCCAAGATCCTGCCCACCACAGCAGCCAACAGCCTCCAGTCCAGCAGAACGCCCAGCCATTTTCCTCTGTGTGTTGCCCACACAGCCTTCAGTCACACTGAAGAAGCCTTGAGAAACTACATCCCTAGCTCTCTGTATAGCCCAGCAGACAGGGAGATTGGGTCTCTGAACTAGACCCCATCCACCTAGGAATCAGGAACACCCCACCCCCACCCCCCACAAACTGGTTATTCAAGTTTGAGAGTGCAGTGAGAATCAGGAAGTCAGCAGCTTCCTCCTGCAGCTCCACCGGCTGGCAGCCTCCACTACAGAGAGCTGATTCTCCTCAAAACCACAAGAGACAGGTAGTGCCTTCCAGCACCCCCTGTACCCAGCACAGCCCTATCATAATGGGACCTTACACCCCCCTACTCAGAGACCCAGAACTGTGTACCCCTCTCAGCAATGCCTCCCACCCATATCTTATCACCCCTATACAACATGCCCTCACCTCTCAGGGCCAATGTTCTTTGCGCCCCTGGCCTGACCACATTTGCGGCTCAATAAAGTTATCACTGCTTGCTTCAACCTTGCCTGCCGCAGTGGTCTCAGTGGAGTCCCAGTTTAGTCTAAAAATCTTGATTATCTGTCAGCCAATCCTGGGCTCCAGCAGGAAGGTGATAACTGGACTGTGTTTCCTATTTTCTACACGCAATGCAGATGAATGAAATGACAGACTCAGTTTCCTACATCCCTGTCCTTCACCTCTAATAATCACAAAGGACCAGGCTCACTGCTGTCCTCTTTCCATGGCCGCTCACCCCAGAGGGCAGACACATTGTCCTTCAGCCACCTGTGAGCCCACAAGCACCTCCCCCCCATCCCCATGTTACTTCTGGGCAAGGGGTCTCCCGGGTACTTGTCTGGTGTCCTCCACAGCACGGGCCAGCGAGGGGGGCCAGAAACAGGAGCCGGCTGCAGATGACCTTTGCGCTTCGTGTACAGCAACTTTGAAAAAACCTTCACAGTGAAAAAAGAGGAAACCAGACAACACAAAAGGAAAGCCCCCTTGACACTGAGACAGCTCAGTATGTGACAGTTTTGGGGTGCACATTCTAGGTGCTCACCCTCAGAGTCTCTGAGACAAGTCCAGAGTGAGTGCTGGAGCTGAGTCTAGGGAAAAGCTGCTCTGGGGAGCTGGAGCTTGCATCTCCTTGGGGCTCTGCCCTGAGCTGTGAGGGGGGCAGGACTCAGGCAGGACTTTGTCCTGAGCCTATTGAAAGCATTGCTAGCGTAAACACCCCACCCCTTAGCTCTGCAGCAAGAGGCTGCCTCCTCGCTCCACTTAGCAAGGATAATTTTTCCTGATATGGAAAACATGGGTTTGCCCTGTTGGCCAATTTTTTTTTAATAAAAATATCCACATTTTTAATGAACATAATAAGGTAAACTTGATTCTACTGAGCTTGTCACTTTTAATGGGAACAAACACTGTCTCTAAAAGGCAGGGCCCGCTCTCGGCCCCCAACCCTCACACGATGCCCACCAGGGAGCCCCGCCCTCTCTCCAGGCTGAGCCTCCCAGGGCTCACAGCCCTTTGAGCCCCAGCGCTTATGTTCTGGGCCTGCCCAGGCCCTGGCCGCTGAAAGCTGAGCTGGCAAGGGTCTCACACCAGGAAGGCTTCTTGCCCCTGCTGTGCTGCGGACCCATCCCCCCAACAGTTCCCCTGCAGCTGTTAGAGATGCTGGGCCAGCTGCAGGCACTCAGCCTCTACCTTTTCTGCTCCCTGCCACGCAGGAGCTGCTGATGGCTGTGAGCTCCCTGCCCCTCTTCCCGCCCAGAGAGGCCTGAAGAGATCGTTTTGCAGAGCTGGTGCTGCAGGGAACTGGAGACAGCTGGGCAAGCAGCTCAGCAGCAGGAAGCAAAGGGCTGTGTGTGTGTAAGAGCCCAGATGCCTTTGCTGGGGTCTGTGGGTCCAGACAGCACACCAGAGTGACAGCTCCCGTCCCTGTGCAACAGAGAAGCAAAAATAAAAAAATAAATACCTGATATAAGTGGAAACCATGGTGCTGGACATGCATCTCTGAGGTCACCCTGGGGAGTGGGTTCAGGGTCACTGGTGCCTGAGCTAAACCTGAGCTAAAACTCCTGGCACCAGCTTCATTGACCCTGAGCTCCATGCCAGCAGCTGAGGACTCACACCTCCCACGATGTGGGTGTCTTTCTCATCTGTGCTCCACTGAGTTCCACTCCAACTCCAAAGGACCCTGGGATGCTGTGAGATCCTAGTTGTGCATTCTTCCCTTGAGTTCCTCTGGGAGCACTCCTGAATTTTCCACATCTCTAAGGAGTGACAGGGGCACCAAAAGAGTTGTCAAATAGGCTGCTGTGTGAGTAGAATCTCTCCAGCTGGGGACTTTATTCAGGCCTGGGCTTCCTCACCTGGATCCAGGCTGTGGATGAGCTGCTCCACCAGCCTGTAGCCCTCAAGCAAATGCTGTCTGTAGCCCTGGCCCTCAGTGGTGTCAGGGTAACCTCTGCTTAGGAGGACCTCCAGATTTTTCTTTATTAATAGTGACAGTCCTCTCCCTTGAATCAGGTTGTCACTTAATTCGGAGAGTTCCAGATCGTGCTTCCAAATAAGGAGCATGGAGTGTCTAGGAGGAAAGGAAGCAGCAATGGGAGCCTGCGGAGGGGTGCAGGGCACTCCTAGGGCATTGATAAGAGGCTTTTGGAGAAGAACCTGGATTCCTCCAAGCAGAACTCAGTCACATGCAGAGCCCGAGCTCTGCAGCTTCAGGAAGACATGGTTCCTGTGAATGAAGGCAGGACACACCATCACCGTGTAGGAGTGTTGGGAGCCGAAGCCCCGAGCCCGGTCGCCTTACTTGGCGGACGTGCGGCCTGTAGTAAAGAGCAAAGCCTGAGGTAGATTACCCCTCCCATCGAGCACGTTAGTTTCCTGCTTACCGCGTAAACAACCCGCTCAACAATATAGTCTGCCTGGCAACTGATGATGTTAGCCAATCAGCTTGCCTTGCTTACTTTAACATGATTGGACACTGTACCCGTATATATACCGGTGCCACCCCTGGGCGGAAGTAGAAGCCAGGTAGAAGCCCGGAAGTAGAAGCCCAAAAGGAGCCGCGGAGAGCGGACCGGTAGAGGCTTTGGGGCAGACTGAAGCACAAAAGGAGCCGCGGGGAGCGGACCAGAGGAGGCTTCAGCTGGGAGAACCCAGGGCAGGCTGTACGGAGAAGGAAAATAAAAAGAAAAGGTTGTCCACTACCAGACTTTGTCGTGTGTCCTTCCTGCCGGCCGGGAGCGGACATCGACATTTGGAGGCCCGCCCGGGGACTGATCACCCCCGAGACGTGGAAGTGGACAACGCTCCAGTACAGAGCTGCGAGACAGGTGAGTTGGGGATAAGCCTGGGCTCTGGGTGGCACGCACCTACAGGGCTTTTAGACTCCCCTCAGGCTCACGCGTAAGTGGCGGATTCCTTGGGCCTCACGCGGTGAGTAACATATTAAAAAATGGGAAACATGCTAGGCAGCAACACTAAGAGCGAGGGTGGTTGTGGAGAAAGCTCTCAAGAGCTTACAAAAGTACGCAGGGTATCTGAGCAGGCCCAGTCAGGGAGCTCCCGAGAGGGGCCTGTCAAGGGGAACAAAGATGCTAAGGAGGAGGACGGGGCTCTAGCCTCGGAGTCGTCTGACTCCGAGGACGAGGGAAAGTTGAATGGCAAGGGGGCCAAAGAGACCAGCTGTCAGGAGCCTAAGTCGCTCGATAAGGAGTCGCAGGGTTCTTTCCCAGTGTTGCGCCGTGAATTGTGCTCCGCTCAACTTGGTCTGCGGAGGAGTAGAGAGCTCCTGAGCGCTCCCCGGCGCGAGAGGGAGGCGATCCCTCGCCACGAGGCGGCCGCCTGGGAGCTCTCTCCCCTTTCGCCAGAACAGGAAGTGATGCACGGGCCCCCATTTTCCGCCCAATCACGGCCGCCGTCTTATGCTCCGCCGCCGGCGGGTCGGTATTTTTACAGGCGGCTTTGGCAGGAGGGACGCTTGTCTCATGAGGTACATCCACCTGGGATAGATAGTGGCCCCTACGAGATATTTCCTGTACAAGTAGCTATGGGCCAGGGACGCAATGCATGGGAGCCTTTTGAGATAAAGCAGATTAGAGAACTTAAAAATACAGTTACAACCTTTGGGCCGACTGCGCCTTACACCATTGCCATGCTGGAGAATCTGTCTTCTGGGCCCCTCACCCCCGCGGACTGGATTCAGCTGGCAAAGGCGTGTCTGCCCTCGGGCAGTTACCTGGATTGGCGAGCCTGGTACGCAGAGTTCTCTGCAGAGCAGGCTGAGAGAAACGCCAATCGGGGAAACCGGGGGTGGAACAAGGAAATGCTTATGGGAGAAGGTCGGCACGCTGATGATCAGACCCAGTTCCCCGGCGCTGTCTATAAACAAATCAATGCCATAGGGCTCCGCGCCTGGAAGCAAGTAAGTGGTGCCGGAACAGCCTCCTTGTGTCTTTCAAAAATAATTCAGGGTACCACAGAGCCATTTGTTGACTTTGTGGCCCGAATGCAAGATGCTGCCGATAAGATATTCTCTGATCCGGGAGTGGCTCGACCGCTGGTAAGGCAGCTGATTTTCGAGCAATGTACAAAGGAGTGCAAGGCAGCGATAGCTCCTCATAAGAACAAGGACCTCAACGCCTGGATTAGGATATGCAGAGAGATAGGGGGGCCGCTCTCCAACTCGGGAGTGGCTGCTCTCCTGGCCGCGGCTGTACAGCAGAGGGGACCTCGCGGGTTAGAAGGGGAATGTAAGGCTAAAGGGTGTTTTGCCTGCGGGGAGCCAGGACACATTAAACGTCACTGCCCAAACAATGCAGATGCTAGGCCTCGCCCTAGGAATAAAGAACCATATGTTTGTGGGCGATGCAAGAGGGGATCACACAAAGCTGAGGAGTGTAGGTCGGTCTTTGATGCTCAGGGCAACCGTATTTGTGGACGAGATGCTACAGAGCCAAAAAACGGCCAGAGGGGGCCCCCTTCACAGGCGGGCCCCCGCCCCAGAGACAGGACAGCTCAGGATGGCAGCCTTCAACAAGGGCCACCCCTGGGTCAGCAGGTGTGGACCTCAGTGTCGCCTCCAGACTTATATGGGTGTTCATCTTGTCATTTGTCACTCAGCACCCTATAATTTTTCCAAAGGTTACTGCCTCTGATCCATTAGTCCCAGCAACTACAATATATACAGAGGGCTCCAAGACGGGGATAGGCGCCTATGTGATCCTAGGCAAGCCCCCGGTTACCATACAATTTGAACCAGATCAGCCTCAGGTGGTGGAACTGCAGATCATTAAAATGATTCTTGAACGGTTCTCAGAAGCCATTAACATTGTCTCCGATTCTAGGTATGTGGTCAATGCTATGCAAGTGCTTGAGACTGCCAGTTTAATTAGATCCACTTCCACAGTGGCTGGGCTGTTCCTGTCTATCCAGACATTGCTTCAGAACAGACACCATAAGGTCTTCACCACCCACATAAGAGCACATACATCCCTGTCAGGGCCTATGGCACAGGGGAATGCGGCTGCTGACACTGCCACTCGCCCGTTATGGATTTTTACCTTACTAACACCAATCGAGCGAGCCCGTGCCTTCCATGATAAGTTTCATGTCAATGCCAGGACACTAGCAAACCATTTCCATGTTTCTAGAGCAGATGCACGAGATATCGTGCGACTATGTGACTCCTGTGCCACATACAAACCTGCCATACCGATGGGAGTAAACCCTCGAGGTTTGATCCCTGGTGATGTTTGGCAGATGGACATCACACATATACAGGAGTTTGGGACTCTTAAATATGTTCATGTTTCCACAGACACCTGTTCTCACGTCATATTTGCAACAGCAGAAACAGGTGAAAAAGTGTCTAATGTGATCAATCATTGCCTGGCGGCTTGGGCCGCATGGGGCAAACCAAAAATATTAAAAACTGATAATGGACCAGCCTATATAGGCAAAGCCTTCAATGAGTTCTGCAAAATGATGGAGGTTCAATTAAAACATGGTATCCCATACAATCCCCAAGGTCAAGGAATCATTGAGAGGGCTCATAGAAGCCTCAAAGAAATGTTACAAAAACAAAAAGGGGGAGTAGGCCAAGGCCTGGCCCCAAAGGCACGATTATCCATGGCACTATTCACACACAATTTTTTAAATTTAAATAATGATAATCGCTCCCCAGCTGTGGAGCACTGCAACCCTTCCCCCAACCATAAAGGGTGGGTGAAGTGGAAAGATGTCCTGACAGGACAATGGATGGGCCCGGATCCAGTGGTCAGCTGGAACCGAGGCGCGGTTTGTGTTTTCCCACAGGAACCGGGACGAGAACCACTGTGGATACCGGAGAGACTGACACGGGCAACAAAGCCCTCGACTGAAGATCAGACCTGCCCTACCGGAGATCCATCACAGACCAACCAACAAGATGAATAGAAATAGCAGTAGCCCGAAATGGACAAGAAGATCCTCAGGCATATGCATGGCTTGCTCAATTGGCCCACGACCGAGTCTAGATATGGCGGGCATCCCTCATTCTCCTCCATAAGGTGACAATACACAGCAGGGTAGGTGAGTCAATGACGGGTAAGAGCGTACTCCCCCGGTGCGACTCAACCTAAGCCAGGCCCTACCCCATCCTGCACGTAAGCCGCTGGACTGTTAGATGCTGCCCAGGTCTAAATTTCTCTCCGAGGGGATTTCTTTACGGAGAGGAAATGAGTGCAAGCTTGTGTGCATCCAGGTTCCGTCCAGTTTGTGCCTGGCCCTAGAAAAAGGACGAGGGCCTCAGGGCCTTGGCAGACCATGGGACGGCCGACCAGGGTCTAAGCCAAGGACCTACGGTGGGCCTACACATAGGGCATAAGCCTCTGCACCCAGTCCAGGAAGGGCTACGATGCGCACATTCATAAAAAATAAAAAAGGGGGAGATGTTGGGAGCCGCAGCCCCGAGCCCGGTCGCCTTACTTGGCGGACGTGCGGCCTGTAGTAAAGAGCAAAGCCTGAGGTAGATTACCCCTCCCATCGAGCACGTTAGTTTCCTGCTTACCGCGTAAACAACCCGCTCAACAATATAGTCTGCCTGGCAACTGATGATGTTAGCCAATCAGCTTGCCTTGCTTACTTTAACATGATTGGACACTGTACCCGTATATATACCGGTGCCACCCCTGGGCGGAAGTAGAAGCCAGGTAGAAGCCCGGAAGTAGAAGCCCAAAAGGAGCCGCGGAGAGCGGACCGGTAGAGGCTTTGGGGCAGACTGAAGCACAAAAGGAGCCGCGGGGAGCGGACCAGAGGAGGCTTCAGCTGGGAGAACCCAGGGCAGGCTGTACGGAGAAGGAAAATAAAAAGAAAAGGTTGTCCACTACCAGACTTTGTCGTGTGTCCTTCCTGCCGGCCGGGAGCGGACATCGACATAGGAGGTGAAGGGAGGAAGAGGGACAAGACAGGGCTGGAAGCACACCAAAGCCTGCCACCTCAATAATCCACACACGCGCTGTCTTGCTTAGTTTTGCAAGATGTGATGCTGACCTCAGTGCACCTCTAAAAGGTGCAGAGGAGGGGGCTTCAGAGCATTTCGGTCCAACAGTTACCACCTCTTTCTTCCCTCAACCTTTCATGAATAACTGCAGCCTGTGCCTATGATGTGCTTGCCCTCCCTGACCCATGCCAGCTCTTGGTTCTCACAGTCCAGCTGCCCCCTGCAGGGACTCACACCTTCCCCTACCTGCACTGCATACACCCCCTTACCTCAGCTGCTGGGTCAGAGACAACTTGGCAGACATGTCCTGCTCCTCAGTGGGCAGCCACTCCCAGAGCAGAGAGTGATGATGTCTATATCCTACAGCCCCAGAGAAAAGACACATGTGCCTGCCTCAGTGGGCAGCTGGACATGCACTGTGGGCACTGCCTGCAGAGAAGCCCACACCCACAACAAGGACAAGGATAGTTCTGCATCATATTGTGATTTCCTAGTCTCTTACACAGGAAATACGTGTTCATCCCATTTTAGAGATAATGAGAGAGAAGCTGGCAGGCAAGAAGAAAGACAAATGGCTCAGCCAGCAGGACACACAGTCAGAATTCACATCCCAGTGGTCTCCATGGGCATCAGGGACCACGGCAATAACCAAGCCTGCAGCCTGCCAATGCACACCTTCACCAGGCAGGAAGCAGCACCAGCTTTGTTCTTGGTATGGGAGCTCCAACGGCCCTGGGCTGGGATTCCTGGGAGAAACAAGCTTCTCAAGATGAAAACTCTCACCTGGCCATGTGCATACAATGGAAGGCAGAGCAGCATGAGGAGCTGACAGTAAACACCCACACTGTAATGCAGGGGTTCACGTAGACTAGAAAACCCCACCATGAGTGTGGGCCAGTGCCAAGCCCTGCAGCAAGGGTGTCCCTGCAGGGAACTCATGAGCTCACTGTAACCCTGTGCAGGAGGGACTGGTACAGATCACAAAATGGTAGTATCTGAGGGCCCAAAGTGTCAGATTTCTGGAATAGAGCCAGCTATGGCACAGTACCCATGCTCCACACAGTTCCTCTGCAGGGCCTGGGGGTGGCTTTCTCCCTTATCATCAATAGCTTTCAAGCTATAATTAACTCTGATTGTAAGGGTGCCATTGATGAGATACACAGCTCCTACCAAACCTAATCTGATGAGTTTCTTCACAAGGTTCCCTTCTGATTTTCTGAAATGCTTTCAACTGAAAGCAAAACAAAACAAAACAAAAAATATCCTACCAATGAATTTTTGCAGAGATTGCTATAGCTCAATATGGGAACTTCAGGGTCAAAGGTGACATTTCTTCCGTTGACAGTGCTGGGACAGTTCCCTGATTTCCCAGTTAGCTCAGCCTCTGCACAGGTCAGCAGCGTACTGCTCTGGCCTTGGTGTGGACAACAGCTGGTACTCTCCTCCTCATGCCTTCTCTCATCGCACCCTTGTGTCTCAGAGCTCAGACCCTCAGGGTCCACCTGGACCTGCTGCCAGCCCCCTTCTTGAGAGCCAATTGCTCCAGGGGAGACAATGGTTGCTACAGTCTGTTACCCAAGACACACATTCCACTAAATGAGTCAGAGTGGCTCTCCTGGACTCCTAAGAAGAGCCTGTGCCCCACCAAGCAGGTTACCTTCCCTGCCATTTTACTTCCTGATCTCCATGGTGACAATGATGGCTGCCAAAAGTTCAGTTAGGAGCAGAATCTTCCTGAGCTCCTCTGAAACCTACTGGAAGCACCGTCCCCTCCTTTCCCTGGTATAAACAGCAGGGTGCTCTGCCCAATTCCACAGGAACTTCAGTGCAAGGTGAGACCATTGGTGCCAGAACTTTAGGTGACTAGTGAGGCTACCTGTCTGGAGGATCTGAGTAGGGAATCTGATTTCAGGAACCTCATCAAAATGGCCTGACCTGTTCTAAAAAAAACAGGATCATTCTACGCCCTCAACAGGAACTGGTAACTGGGGTTTTTACACTGGTCCCATTCTATTCCTTAGTATAAACTTGGAGAAACTGGTATGTGATTTAAATCTCAGTAGTTAACTCAAGTTAAGGACAAAATACCACACTTCTGTTTCTGGGAATGTGGGAAGGTCACTTGATTTTGGAAAAGGAAAGAGAAGAATCACGTCTGCAGACCACTTCATTTGTACAGGGAAAACAGAATCATTTATCATTTTGTTTACAGCGAAGCTGCAAATCTCACCATATTCTGGCAACTTGTCCAGAGAGCCAAGAGCTGCTATGGGTCTCCCTGAACTGGAGCTGCAGAGGGCAACCTGCACTTCATGCTCTTTCATCCCAGAGCACACTTCCTCTGTGAATGGTGAATATCCATCTCAGCCCCGGGATCGGGGCTGCGCGCTACCACAATAGGGATGGCAGTGAGTGTGGACTTCCGTCCAAGGACTGTGGACAAAGCCAAACACAACCCAGCTTAACATCCAAGGGAAAGAAACTGAGCATAGTTTTGCAGGCCTGTGATTTCTGAACTCAGAAGTGTGAGGCAGGACCATCACTGACACTTCACGCAAAACCTGAGATACATAGTGAGACCCTGACTCAAATCGGAACTTATACACAAAACAAAATAATGTGAGACAAAAACAGGTTGGCTCAGGATGGAAGGAGGACAGTAAGTACAATGATGAACTCACTGTTGAAAACAAGCTGATCAACACCCAACACTTGTTAATTTCACTGACAAACAATCTAAGTTCAGAGATGAAGGTCTTGCCTGCAGCTCAAACTCAGGCTCCTAGGAGCTAGTTGTGCCCAGGGCACCAGGCAACGGTCCACAGTCACAGCAGAGAACTGGAAGGTACTGATGTCATGGAATGTCAGGGGCCCCTGCCTTCCAAAAGCCCACTGTGCTGATGCACAAGGTCCCCAGTCTCCTCAGAAAGTCACCACTGATGAGCACCTCCCACTCACACATCAGTCCCAAAGGTTGTATAACCTTGGGCTGATCCCAACCACCTCCTTCCCCAAAACCTCAGGTATATTTCTCATTCTTCACTCTTCTGAATGTGTAACACCATGCAAACAGAAATCATCTCCCACAGTTTACACTTTCTTTTGGGTGGGTGGGGAGTTTCTTCACTGTCTCTGTTATTAAAACAGTTTTAGAGATTTTTACGAAATCCAAATAGTAAAGTTAAAAAGGTAAACATGTGAAACTATCAAGACTTTACATTGAATACTCTCCCTCTTTTCTTCTCTTTGTTTTTTGGAGGCCAGGTCTCGTTACATAGCTAAGGCTGTCCTGGAAATCACTATGTAACCCAGGATGGCCTCAAACTCTCAGAGATCCTACCAGCTCAGCTACCCCAGTGCTGGGATTATAGGTGCACACCTGTATTCCCAACCTAACCCAGCCTTTCTATACCACAAAAATGTGTAGAACATAAGGCATCATACAACACTAACACATTAGGAATTAGCAGGCATTTTCTTCTTTATATTTTTCACCAATATGATCCTGGCTATTACACGCATTTTCTAGGTTGCCACCTTCTTTGTACTTGGGAAAGCTCTTCTCTTTTCCTACAGTGAAGTTTGACATCACTACCAGTTAGCCTCCCCTCTAAGTTGGGTTTCTTGTCATCTTCTTTTTTGATGCCCCTAAATTGTCATTTCTGAATTTCACCTTAGCTCCACAACTTTTTCCACCTATGGACATGAGTAAAATATTTCATGCAGCAATCCTTGGGTATTTAGAGTTTCTGTTTTGTAGAACATGTGCATACAGGATGGTATTTCTATGCCCGGATTCAGTCCATTTGGGTAGGGAACAAAGCATGGCATATCAGATGCTGTTACTGGACACTGCTGATGAATGTACGCAACTAACTTGGAGTTGCCAACTATGGCTGAATCCTGTGAGTATAGTGTGGTAAGGGCATGGCCAGGATCCTGGGGGCACAATGAGCCACAGTGCAGTGTGTCTTGGGGCCTCGTGACACTGAAGCAGAGACTGAGGAGGGGAAGAGAGCAAGAGGGGATGATGCCCAACCACGCTGTTACTTTCACAACTCCATCTTAAGGTTTGCCAGCCTGGCCTCTCAGCGGAGATGCTCATATGGGCAGCACCTTCCATTTCAGCTGTCAGACTTCCAGAATCAGGAAGTGATGAAGAACCACAGAGCATCCTTGTACAGGTGAAGGAAGGAGGACTGGACCAACACTGAGACAGGGCCTCCTTCACCTCACATGTCCTCCAATTACACCACGAGATGCAGACTCTATGCTAAAATTTAGGGTGTGGTGGGTTCATAATTTTACCGTGTTCCAAGGTTCCACACAATGGTGCCCCAAGCCGGGTCCTTTCCCCTTACAAAGCCCTTCTCTATCATCATGTGCTGATTATATACACAGTTACGGTTTTTCCTCTGTCACTCACACTGTTTTTTTTTTTTTCCCCTGGATTACAGCCATGTTTCCAGGCAGGCTGAACAGTGCAAGACTCACCTTTCTGTAAGGTCAACAGAAGCGACTGGTCCTATTAGTCTTCTGGTATATGTGGTCATCATGGTGGACATCTGGATATGATGCTTTCTTCAAGGGTCACCAGCACTGCTGAAGGCCACCAAAGTGCTCTCTGTACATCAACACAGTTCCCTCTCTTCCACTGCATCCTGCCGCTTCACTTTCTCTGTGGCATCTTGACCCTGACAGAGATTAAAGGTCCAGCCTCAAATTATTGAGGCTGTGTAGTTCACGTCTGAATGAAATAACATTGTTACTGAAAATATAAACTCTGCTTTAACAGGATCCCACTGGTGTAAACCAGCAGTGATACATGCATGATGTTCCCATGCATTAGCTTTATTACCAGGGAAGAAGAGGTACTGACACGCATGGGAAAGTCATGCCCATTCCCAGTGTCACACAGCAGTGACACACATAAATTATGGTCCTGTCATGTAGGGCTTACATTTTCCTCCCAATTTTATTTCAAATTTGAGGATAAAACAAGAATTACAGTTTTAGGAAAAGAGTATATAACTGGCTTTCATATGGGAAGAGATTAGTGAAGTTGAAAAGCTCTACTTCTCAGACAGAGCCAGGAACATCAGGATAACATGGCAAGGATGAAGCTGTTGGTCTCACTGACTGACCTTGCCTCTTTATCCCTCCAGCTGAAAGGACCAGTCAGGGTACACTGATTTGCCATCTCCATCCTCTGACCTATGCAGAGGGAATGGCTGTTAGCCAAACTAGAGCCCAGAAGCTACTGATAGTCCAAGAGGTCACAGTTCCTACCTTCAGACAGGTGATGCAGCTGCTGGGAAACAAGATGAAAAATCAACACAAACGGGGATGCACAGTTCCCAACTGAGGCCTAAGTACCTAGGACAAGAACAGCACTCACTCACTGAAAGCACCAACGTGGCTGCATTCCTCCCATCATCGCAAGGATATTTCTGCCCACTTGTCCTGTCACTGGCAGTTTCCTTCTCCTGGAGGAAACCATCACCCCCTGTGTGAGCAGCACACCCCTAGCTGGTGATGTCCACCTGTGAGCTCTGCTGAAAGCAGGACCGTGCTCAGGGCCTCATTTGCTGGGTCTCCTTGGCATGAAGCACAGCATGTGTCCTGTTCGCCGGGTTTCATGCCTCCACCCATTCACAGTGCAGGGACAATGCCATGCAGCGTTGAAACTGCTGCTGTTCTTGCTCTCATGGCTTTGGCTTCTTAGAAACTCAATGTAACATCTAAGCTCCCACGATGTAACACAAGATAAGAAAAACGGAGCAATTAGGAAGTACGTGAGAGATGCTGCGAACAAACATTCACCTGCTGCAAGTGGAGGACAGGAGGAATGTCACTGGTTCAGAAGCAGGAGTCACCTACCCTGCACCTCCCTATATTAATGGCAGAGCTGCTGAAGGTGTAGCTTCCACCTTCTGCCACCAAGTGATCCCCTCTATGCGGGAACTCACCTGCTAAGTTTCTCCAGAGAGGGCGGCTCCAAATTCTAATCCATGGAAACAAGATTGGGGATCCATGGTTGCCCTTCCCTCTCTTGGAGTTGTGCTTCCAGGGGACACATAGGTGAGCTCCTGGACCAGGTGCACAAATCCACTGTGGAATCCTTTTTCCTCCTGACTACACTGCTTGGTTCACGCTGTGCCTGGAAGACTATAGGACATGAAGCATCCTCAGTTTCTCCTCAAGTTTCTCATCCAACTTTTCCTCTTCATTTTTGGTTTCTATCTTATCTACCTTTACTGTTTCCATTCCGGGCAAGTTTCCTGCTCCACTTGTTTCAAATTTCTTCCATCTGGTCCTTCACTTCAGCTTTCTCAGGGTGTGCCCTTAGCTTGGCTCCTGCAAAAGACACACTTCTTTGTCTTGTTTTCAGCCACTGAGTAACCAGAGCCCCTGGAGAATGTTAAGACACTTTGCCCAGACACTCCTTCCACCAGTGGACTCCCTAATCTTCACCCTGCTTGAGCCTCCAGCCCAATACCATCTTCTTCTTGCCACTTTTCACATGCTAGACTTACTACACCAACCCAGGGACAACTCATTCATGACACAGTCAGAGATCACAATACTGATAGAGGACCACACAGACCACATGAGGGATACAAACAAACCGAACCGCATGCTCTTCAGTTTATTTTTCCTGAAATGCATGATTTATCCAGACATAGTGGAGCAATCTTGTCATTTCAACTCTTGGCAGTCTGAAAAAGGCAGATCGTTCCAAGTTCAAGGCCAGCCCGGATTACATCATGTGTTGAAGACCTGCTTGAACTATGTATCAAGACTCTGCCTCTAGAAGAAGTGAAAGCATAATATAAACCCTGAGAATATGCAAAGGATTGCTGAGAGTGGTTGAAGACGATCTATGTGACTGGTGGGCTAGATCTGAGCAGGTGAGTGAAGGTTCTACATGAAAAGGGCTAAGTCGTCTCCCATTTTACCTGTGCATTTCAGGCCAATTTGAACACAATTCTAGGATATTCTATTTCTCTGAGACTGTAGATGAGTGTGCACACACAAGCACTAGCAAGCTGATTTTAAAATGTAATTGGAAATGCAAATGGTGGACAGTGCCCAGTTAGCTGGAGCAGAGGAGGTACTGGGAGGACTTAGCCTTGCAGCTGTGGAGGCCTCACATGGGCATATACAAGGGGCTGTGTGGGCAAGAAGGGGGCTGTGTCATCACAAGCAAAACTAGGAGGTCCTCCCCACTCACCAGCAAAGTGCTTCTGTGGTGCATTAGCACATCCACAGTGCATAGCAAAACCCAGCAGGAGTGCAGAACACAGTTCAGAACCCCACAATCCTGTCATGGCCCACTGACCTTGCAAACTCTCCACTAGGAGCAACTCCTGCACTTACTGGGACAAACACCTCTGTTCTCAATCTGTCCCTGGTTGTGCCCACCCAAGCTGCATGCTCCTCTGGGTCACCACAGTTCTAGCAGGATTTTTCCCAGTCAATAGGACGCCACAACTTCAAAGGCAAAGCCAGCACAGGGATGTAGCTCTGCTGCACAGACCCTGCTTCGCAAGTGTAAAACTTCTTACCAAAGGCAAAGCCTGTCATCCATAAGAAACAACTAGTGATCTATGGGTCAGCAATCACTCTATGTGCTTTGCTGCAAGGCTGTGAGGGAACCAGATGGCAGGTCTGCATTTGGTATCTCCTATGCTGGCCTCAGACTTGGGCAGTGTGATATGGTCACCATTTTGTAAAGGTCACCTTTTTGTAAAGGTCACCTTTTGTAAAGGTCCGAAGAACAAGGTCAGGAGCAAAGGACAGCAGGAAAGTCAACTGAGAGATCTACCGTCAGGCTGTGCCCTGCAGCCGGTACCAATCTTCTGACGTGACAATATGCTGAGTCTGGCAAATGGGATTGCCTGGATCAGGTGTGCAAAAAGACACATGACGATGGAAGCAAGGGCTTCAGAGTCATCAGCCTCTGGTTCTCAAGGCCACTTGTGCTAAGTGTTCGGCATAACCTTCTCTCCTTTTTTAAAGACACTTTCTTTCTGAGTCCTTCTTTAGAGCTTCTTCGCTTCTGACTTCTTCCCTAAAATAAACAGTAATCTTTCACATCTGTTGATTGTCCCAAGTCATTGATTGGGAATATAGGAGCCTGGAAAGCATTGCTGCTCCAGGCCCACACAATAATGGGAATCTCCCAGGCAGCAGGGGCCACTCCCCATCTCCTGATACCCACTGCTGAGCTCTGATTTGGCACCTTGTTGCGGTCTCTGCAAAGAAACTATCATAGCAATCCCAACACTATATTCTGTGTAGCTATTTGTGCCTCTTTCTAGGCTGGGCAAAATCCTGTCAGCCATGTTCTCCAAGGATAATTCTATGTTCACTACACTTAGAGCTCTATGACATTTTTCGTTTACTGGAGCAAAGATGGTGTAGGTGCCAGGACTTGGCTTGGCTTCTCACCTTGGACATGGCTGTCATTTGTTTCTGAAAAGCATGGCATTCCCTGGCCCCAGCTGCTGCCTCCCAGGAAGCAACAGGCTGTGTCTTCCTACCAAGCTCGTGATGCTTTTCCAGTGAAATTACAAAGTTCAGCTAAGCAAAGCCCTGCACCAGTGAATGTGTTCTCTGCCAATGAGTGGGAGCCAAGGCCAAACTTGGGTTTGGTAGATCTGGGTTAGATGAATTTTGTCACCAAGCCCCAATTGAGAAAGTCCTGCAGAGCTAGTCAGCACAGTGCATCATGTCACATCATGTTCCTGACAATCGGCAGAGCTTAGTTGTCCAAGGAGCCATGTGTGTCCTGGCAGGGACACTGCCTGGCCTGGGCACACAGCTCTGCTGAGTGACTACTCAGCAATCAGACTCAGAGGCCAGGAGAAGAAGCAATCAGTGGGGCTGGGTGACCTCCTGCAGCCCTGTGAAACTGGTTGCTGTCTCCTCGTGGCAGCTAGTAGGGAGGGACCTAGGTTTTAGTCGAAATACTTCAGGGGCTGTGCAGGCTGGCCAACGGGGCAAGGAGGAGCAGGAGGCTTTTGAGAAGTCCTGGCCACTGCGGAATTACAGATGGGAAGCAGTGCAGGGCAAGGGAGGAGAACACTGAGGATGTCTATGTCCTGGTGCCCAGAGAACCCTATGACTATAACCTTAGAGGGTCAGAGGGACACAGCAGGAGTGGCTAGGCCACCATTGAGGTGGTGATGATCCTCATTGTTAAAGTGTCATCATAAGGGCAGGTGTTCAGAAAGGAAGAAAATCCTGTGCTGATGGCTTAGAGCATGCAGGGAAGGGCCACCATCCAATGGAGGTATGGGCTCCTCAAGCTGCTGAAAGAGGAGAAATAAGGGACTGGCCTGAGAACCCAATCAGAAATCTGACCTCTAGACTGTAGGAGAATTACCATGTGTCATGAGACTAACAAATGGTGAGACTAACATGTGGTCATTATAAAGAATGGAGAGAGACCCACACAGGGAGAAGCCACAGGCAGCTTCAGGTAAGCCCTGACTTCATGAGAGACCCAAGATGCACAAGTGGTGGAGAGTGAGGAAGAGGCCCATATGTTTTAGCATCATGGGGGAGGAACGGTGCATGGTGGTTATAAGGTAGCAAAGCAACAAGGGACCTTAGAGCATCTTTCTCCTCTTTACCTTACTCAGGCTCTGTAGGGCAGGTAGCATTCATATCCTTTATCCTAGAACCCTTCCGCCTAGCATTGTACCAGGAGTCAATCTCAATGCCACACATTCACCTCTGCAGAAGCCTCACCCTTGATCCTGTGAGGCTTTGGGGGACAACCAGACATAAGCCATAATAGATACCACCATACCACTTTGGTAAAATTTTATTCATAATTTTTCAACTACCACTAAATATTTTATGAGTTCTTGAATACAAATACCATCCCCCCCCACACACTCCATTCCACATACACACAACAAACAATAAATGAGATTTATGACCAACTACAGGATAAAAGGATTTATAAGAAGCAGATTTAAAGAGCTTCTAAAATTACTTTCAAAATTACAAAAGTATTCTTTTTTAAGAAAAGAGTGAATTTCTTAACTTGGTAAAGGTTTAGAAGCAATCTTTGTAAAATATTAGAAGTATATGATCAGTAAAATAAATAATCCAATTTAATGTAAATGGAGAATAGTGCACAAAAATAAATAATCTTAAACATATATAAATATCAAAGCTCAAAGGTAAAAGGCAAACGAGTAGTTAAATGTTAGTTCTAACAACGAGAGAAAACTGATTTCTACAATACTGGAGAAAGATGTCCCTACACAGAAATAACACGAAAAGGTACTTGCATCCAAAATACTAACCTATGAAACCAAGCAACTGCATACAACAAACTTAGAATGATTTGCCACTATGAAAACTAGCTGCAAAATACTTCCTATTCTTATATTACCCAACCATTTTTATAATTATATCCTTTTTAATAGCTGAACTTATAAACTAAAGCATTATAACATAAAGTATAGAAAAAGTCAATTTTAAATAGATTTGGATATATGAAAAAGATGATTCCTATATTCTTGGACTAACTGTACTCTTAAAAAAAGCCGTATGAGAATAGCAAAAAAAGATATCACTTCAAAACAGGGAAAAAATGCAACTTATTTCAGTGCAGCTGACAGAATCAACGCATGCCCAAGGTATATCTCCCCTTCGTCATTCCTCCTCACTCCTTCTGTTCCTTTCTCTCCCTCCTCTCCCCTCCCCACTCTCCTTGACAAAATGTCACTTAACCCCTTTCCTGAAAAAAATGAAGAATCAAACTGCATTATTCTGACAAGACAACTATTTATGCGTTTACAGAAAGGGGCATTCTTTACCTTTGATTCTATAAAACTATTAGAACACAAAGTAAAAATAAAATTTCAGACTAAGAAATTCATGCAAAATGTTTTAAAACACTTGTTTATAACTTCTGCAAGGTATATCATTCTCAAAATACACAATATTAAAATTGATTTTAAGGCCAATCTGCTTGCTGCATTTCGCTGGAATCAAGCAATCATTTACTTCTTTCTAACTGCAATCATATACTAAAGCTCCTCTAAACACAATCTAAGAAACAACTAATTGTATCTTTTTAAGAACCAGGTAGCAAAAGTATAACTTAGCAAGCTTTACAAATTTTTGTTAGTTTTTTCTGAGAAAAAAACACACTCACTGCAATACTAAAAACCAAACATCCTCAATGGGAAGCAAGCCAAGAAATGAAAATATACATAGGTAATTTACAATTTAAAATTTTAAAACCAGAGTTTCAATTTTCAATTTTAAGAAATCATTGGATTCAATATAAATGCTAACATTACTTAATTGTTGAAAAAGATACAGTTACTTGGGGTTATGTATCCTTAAACTATCATTGCCATTCTTTTGATATGAACACTAATGACCAATCACTTGACACCTCACCATAGTAGGAAACATTCTTCATCAATTCAGGGGCTCATAAAGATGAATTTCTTATAGCTGAAGATATAGTGTACGTATTAAAAAAATATAATCACATTTAAGATTAATGACATAAGCCTCAGTTAAAAGAGGACCTTGAAAGACAGCTACGAAAGCCATGAGCATTCCTCATATGGAAAAGTATTTTCCCAGAACTAAAACAAAAGTTTGACTTAAATATATATTGGTTCATCTTTACTGAAAGATTTTTTAGAAAACTTACAAATTTTGTACAGGCAAAACTTCATTTTTAAGAAGCTCCAATAACTTTCCATTTAGTCAAAATACTGAAGAATACACACATATACACCTACTTAATAGATTTAAAGAGGTAATCTGGAAAATATGACTAAACTGAAACCCTCAAACCCACAACAAATTACCAGTGAATCAGTCAGGCTACAGGAAGCTGATAATTTGGAAAAGTAGTAAATGTGGTGGACTTCTCAAAGAATATTTGAGAAAAAAACTACAATCAGTTGAGCTTAAAGGTAATGTGTACATACTGAGAAAAATCAAAATGGCCAGAGAAAATGTAGGACAAACAGACAAATAGTAAAAATAACAACATGAACACTGTGACTAAAGAATTCTTTAAAGTGACCCACCACACATTTCTGAAATGATAATACATATTTTAGCAAAGATATTCCTGGGTTCTAAATATAAAAAATAAAAGTCAACCTTTGAAAATATCTTAGATCATGAGTGAATTCAGCATAATATACCTTTACCCTTCATACGCTTTTCCATGAATTTATACACTAATAAGCTTAAAACAACTGTAATTCATAAAATGCATATGAGATTATATAATGGAATTGCCTACAATTACCTATGATAAAACATACTCCTTAGCATATATATGGAAGAGTGGGATAAGTATGCATATGAGTATGTGTATAAAATTGGACCCTAAACCACTTAAAATTTATGAAACATCACATTACATAATTATCTTCAACTTATTAACATAAATATTAATCAAGTAAAAAGACAAGGCAACATATTTTGATTCTTCACTCAGAGAATCTACAAATCATGGCTTAATAAACTCAGAGAAATCAAAATGAAAAGCTAGCAAAATGTGATGCAAATAATTTTATAATCAATAGGCATTCACACACACCTTCAAACACCAATGAATATATGTTTTGTCTATATTCTCAAAGATATTCAATAAGAAGAAAATAAAAGATAATAATTACCCAATTTTGGTTCAACTAAGAGGACTATGATTTATAACTGCCTTCCTTTGGATTATATATTCACTTGTACATCCTAAAGTATACAGTAAACACTTAGATTTTATGCTCAAAATCAGCTTAAGAAAATCTGGTAACGGACACTGTAAATTTTCCAATCCTAAAGTCTCCTACAGTAACCTAACTCCTACTATTGTCATACCTCAGAAACCAAAAGTAATGAAGTATGGTAGCCACTAAAAAAAATACTGCAAACATCTTTTCTGCAACCTACAAGGCAACATAAATAAGATGTGAGAGGATGGGGTGTCAAAAAAACTTTAAAACTAAAAGGAAATATCAAACTGCTAGACTTCACCTAGTTTTGAAACATCTCAGCTCCTACAATCCAGAACAC